CACTCCTCAGACATAAGGATGCGCTGACAGCGTGAGCTGGGAGCCAAGCACAGCCAACAGGAGGGACAGGGCCTTTGGCCCCGAGGACTGCTTGAGTTTGGGGGAGGGGTACAGACAGAGGAGGGACAGGACTGAAGGAGCTTCTGGATTTAGGGGAACTCATTCAACGGTGCTTACAAATCAACCAGCTCCACACTCTCCACTGTGACCCAGAATGGAGCTCTTGGAGGGGCTGGCACTGTGGCACACGTGGCTAAACCACCACTTGCAACATCGTCGGCTTGAGTCCCGGCTGCTCTAGTTCAGATCCAGCTTCCTAAGAATGCCCTGGGAAAGCAGCGGATGATGGCCCAGGCCTTGGGCCTTTGCCAGACCATGATGGATTCCTGGCCCTGGCTTTGGCCTGGCCCAGACCTGGCTGTTACAGCCATTGGAGGAGTGAGCCAATAGATGGAAGACTCTCTCAATAGCTCTCTCTCCCTCTCTCTCTCTTTCTCTCTGTCTGCTTTTCATATAAATAAATTTAAAAAAAATAAAGACCAAGATGAGAGCATCACTCTGCCCTGCTCTAAGCTGGAGCTGGAGTGCACTTCCGGACTGGTCCTTGAAGCGGAAGCATCCCGAGAAAGGGGGGGCCCCTATGACGAGAGAGGAAAGTGGTGGGGGCTCTTCACCCTGGAAAGGACAAGGATCAAAGGAAGAAGAATTCCAAACTGTTGTGTCTGTTACGTGAGCGAGGTGGACATGCATGACAGATTCCTCAACTTCTAGAGAACATTCTAGCTAGGAAGCTCTTCCTACAGCATAAGGAGGGGCCGGTGCTGCGGCGCAGGGTAAAGCTGCTGCCTGAAGTGTCAGCATCCCATAAGGGCACCGGTTCGAGTCCTGGCCTACTCCAGTTCCAATCCAGCTCTCTGCTATGGCCTGGGAAAGCAGTAGAAGATGGCCAAGTCCTTGGGCTCCTGCACCCGCATGGGAGACCCGGAAGAAGCTCCTGGCTCCTGGCTTCAGATCAGTGCAGCTCCAGCCGTTGCAGCCAACTGGGGAGTGAACCAGCGGATGGAAGACCTCTCTCTCTGTGTGTGCCTCTCTTTCCCTCTCTGTGTAACTGTTTCTAATAAATAAATAAATCTTAAAAACCAAAAACCTTAAGGAGGCGGCCAGTGTTGTGGCACAGCGGGTTAATCTACTGCCTGTGACGCTTGCATCGCAAGTGCTGGTTCAAGTCGCAGCTGCTCCACGCCCCATCAGCTCCCTGCTCGTGCCCCTGGGAAGGAGTGGAGATGGCCCAAGTATTTGGGCCCCTGACACCCCCGTGGGAGACTCAGATGAATTCCAGGCTCCTGGCATCAGCCTGGCATAGCCCTGGCTGCTACAGCCATTTAGGGAGTGAACCAGTAGATGAAAGATGCTCTCTCTCTCTCTCTCTCTCTCTCTCTCAAATACATAAATAAATATTTTAAAACAGAGGAAATTAGACTTTCCATGTAAATTATTAGAGCCATTCCTCATAACAAGCAAAAGGAGCCTTTAACCAGGAAGAAATGAAAATTGAGCAGGATTTGGTTATGGAGATGGGGCGGGGACAGAGAAACCACAGTCAGGGGACATCCAAGGCCAACACCCTGGCCAATGCGTGCCCAGCCTGCTCTGACGCCAGCCCCCTCTGAGGCCATTGGCAGAGAGCAACATGGGGCTCATGGGCCAGTCCCGAGGGCCTGGCAGTCTATGCATCACTGAATCTTGCTTCTCCCCAGCCTCACCAATGACCTCAAGCGTTTGTCTTCGCAGTCCATTGTGACACGATGCATTTGCCTGCTGGTCCGGTCACCCACCTGCTGGGCGGTCACCGGTGCACATCTGTGTCTTCTGTAGGGCTCGGGTTCTCTTTCAAACACTCCACCAGGCTAATTCTGCCCCCTCCCAGGACACACCGCGCAGAGGGAAGAGGCCTCCCGCTTCCCCAGTGCCACCACTCTGTGAACTGGTGTCCACTCCGAGGCCCGTCCAGCGCCGAGTGCGAGCTCTCCCCAAGGCACACCCCGGCACCCCGACTTGCTGCATTCTGTGCATGGGTTTTCTCGGACTTCTGCATCCCAGGGGAGCCACAAACATCCCAGGAGCAGCTGATGGAGAGGAGCAGCTTACTAAGGGAACGATCCAGGGAGGCCACGACCACCTGACCGCCCCGCGGGCACTGCCTCCACTTGAGTGGGTCCTGGCGCTGCAGCAGCCATGTCTCCCAGCCACAAGCCTGCCAAAGCGTCCCTGCCACACTCCCCCTCTGGCTGGGAAGCGTGGCCTCGGCACAGGCTCAGCAAGGCCGCATTGCAGAGTGCAGCAGCGGGGCCCCCGGGCTGTGGCTGGAGGCCCCTGCAGACCTTCAATAACTCGAGTTAGAACAAGATTCCGGCTGCCTCCAGGCTCCGGGGACTTGGTTGGAAAACCAGGAGTGTGCTGTGCCTGTGTTTCTGAATGCTAGGCTGTCGTGTGTGTGTGTGCATCCATGTATGGTGCATGTCAGTGTGTGTACATGTGTGTGCGCGTATGTGTGCTGGGAGAGCCGGCAGCCTAACCCACACCACAGGCCCTCACCTCTCGCTCGCTCGCTCCCTTTCAGACCATCCTGGTGGGCGACAGTGGCGTGGGGAAGACATCTCTGCTGGTTCAGTTCGACCAGGGCAAGTTCATCCCAGGCTCCTTCTCGGCCACCGTGGGCATCGGATTCACAGTAAGCACTGGCTGGCACGCCCCCTGGGGAGCCTGCTGGAAACAGGTGATGGCGTCAGATGGTCAGATCACTCAGGAGGTCGACCAGAAGGACCGCAGGTGCAGGCGGGGTGTTGGGTGGCCAGGAGGGGTCTGCAGTGCCACGGGTAGTACAGGGGCTCCATGCTCCCTCTCACCATAGCCCCTCTTGGGGCCGCGTCCTCATCTCCTTCCACGTCCACTGTGCCTGGAGCGGCTCCCAGCTTCCGCTAAATCCTGGGAAGATCTTGGGAGGCGTTCAGACCACTGGCTCCTCGGAATCTCAGCATCTGGGGCGAAGGAGGACCTAGCATGGGTTTCTGGACAGTTCGGGTGTTAGCAAACTCCAGGATGGAACACAGCACAGGGCCCGTGAAGTCACTTGGGGCTGGCGGGCTTATTCCCGGGGTCACAGCAAGGCAGGCAAGGGTCCAAGGAGGACACGCCTTCATGGTGGCTGTCCAGGCGGCGAGGGAGACGGGAGCAGGCCAGGGTGGGTGCCAGGGCCTGGAATCCTTCAGAAGACAGCAGCTGAGAGGGACTGGCTGGGCCCTGCGGGGGAGGCCTGGGTACCAGGCCCAGGAGGCCCAGCCCACCCCGGCATCCCTGGGGCCCCGAAGCCAAGCAGCTCAACCCGCCCAGCACGTGCCCAGTCTTCCCCCACGGCCACAGCCACATCTCCACCTCCGCGGGGCGCGGAGAGGGCATGAGTCACACACCACAGACCACAGGCAAAACTGCTGTGAAAAACAGCAAGCACCTGGCACACGGAGGGCCCAGGACCGCCTGAGAGGAGCCGGCGGGTGCCCCTCCAGAGCCTCTGCGTCTGCTCAGGGCGCCAGGATGCACCTCCAGCCATCTCCCAGCCCTGAGCTCCCTGGGCTGTGCTGTCCCCAGCTCAGGGACACAGGGCTCGGGGAGGCCTCCTCGGTCACCTGGGCTGCACCCGAGGGCACCTGGAGGAACAAAATGAGCTGCCTGTGTGCCACCCGGCGCCTCCTCCCAGCAGGCCTGGGTGACCGGGGGCGGTGTGCACACTTCCCATTCTTGTTGGGGGAGGTGCAGGTAGTTCACGGGCAGAGCGGGCAATCGGTGAGGACGGAGGCGTGGGGGCAGGGCACGAGGGCAGCTTGCAGCCGGGGCTCGGGCCAGGAGCATGGGGGGGTGGTGTCTGTGGCCATGCTGTGAGGCCAGGAGCGCCTACATCTGGGATGAAGTGAGGTGTGTGTGTGTGTGTATGTGTGTGTGTGTGTGATGTGCTGTGGTGGGAGGTGGGTGTGTCAATGATATCATATGAGGTGTGTGTGTCTGGGATGTGGAGGGTGTGCGCGGGTGTGGCTTGAGGTGTGTGTGTGATGAGACCTAGGATGTGTGTGCATCTGGTGTGTGTCTGGGATGGGGCACGGGGACTGTGTGTGCGTCAAGTGGAGAGCAGGGAGCAGTGCTTACTCCACAGCCCCGGCCCCGAGCACGCGGGCTCCGGTCCCACTTCCGAAGCTGCCCTTGGCCACCTGGCGTGCGTCCACCCCAGGGGACAGCGCCGCCCTGCCCAGGGTCTCCCCTTCCCCAGGCAACCGGGGACCTACTGACTCCCGCTGCAGCGCGGAGCCGCCAGGGGGCGCCTTGTCGTCCCACTGTTCTCCGGAGAATCCCCGCCGAAGGGGCCACAGTGCCCCCAACCCTACCACAGATAAACCCCAGACCCACTCCCCAGTCCTGGGACGTCCAGCGACCTCTGCTCAAAACCACCCACGACTTCATGAATTCACTTGGGCCGCGCCCCTCGCCCGGGAGGTAGGCGCTGCGGAAGCCACCTGTCCCCAGGCGGGACCCAGGCGGGACCCAGGCGGCCCGCGGGTCAGGGAGACTTGGTCTGCACCGCTGGCCTGCGGAACCACCTGAGCGGGGCGCGGGCTGGGGCGCCTCCGCCTCCTCGCGTCGGGACCACCTGTTACCCGCCGAAGCTCTTGCGCCACCTGCTGGCCGCGCTGCGCAATGGCACCGGGAACCCCGGCGCGGGTCCGCGGGTCGGGGAGAGGCCCAGACGTTCCGTCGCAGGCGGGGTCCCTGGCCCGCTCCCCACAGCGGGAACCTGGCCCGGCGGCGAGGAGCTTGGGGCACCGCTCCCGGGGCCGGATTTGGTCCCACTCTAAGTGCACGAAGCCAGGCCAGTGTGACTCGTGCATCACACACTCTCCGCCAGCCCAGACCCCGAAGGGCTGCGCGCCCTCGTGGGACTGCCGGCTCCCCCCCGCTCCGACCTCGGGCCGGTGTCGTAGAGGGGCTGGCGGGACAGAGGGAGGAGCCAGTCTGTCTGTCGGGGTCCGGGCCAGGTCGGTGGCAAGGAGGAAGGAGTGGGTGGAGCTGGGGCGGGGCCGTCCCTGCACTGTCCCTGGCTCGCTAGCTGGCCCAACTCGCCGCTCGTCCGTCCGGGGACATGACGGGCAGGCCTGGCGCAGCTGCCTCCCGGGGTGGTGAGGCCCCCGAGCACTCCCCGCCCTGCAGTCCGAGCTTCGATCTCACGGGCAAGGTGGGTGGGCGCTGCGTCCCGCGCTGGGGATTCCTGTGCCTTTGCCCTGTTCCCTAAGACCCCCGCCCTCCCCAGCCCCTTTCTGTCTGCATCTGGGATGCATCTGCATCCCGTCCAGGCAGCGGGGGTCTCACAGAGGAGGGGAGGGGAGGGAGGGGAACAGGTCAGGCCCAGCCCTGGGCCCCCTCCACCTTTGGGGATCTGGCTGGCTCCGTGAAGGCCAGGTGGGGTAACTCAGAAGGCCTGAGTGACTCCCTGCCCGCGGGCCTCGATCCAATTTTCTTGGGCCGCACGCAGGCCAATAAGAGCCCCAGGAGCCCCTTGCAGCCCGCCTGGTCACTTGCTAGCTTGAGGTCCTAGGATTGCCTGGAGGATGTCTCCCAGCCTGCCTTGCAGGCCCACCCGGAGGCCGGGAGGCAGCTCTGCCCTGGCTGTGCCTTGGTGTGAACGGGTACCAGGAGCTCTGAAAGAGATGCTGATGGGGGCAGGGCAGGGTGGGAGAGGGGAGCGGCTCTGAGGGTTGCAAGGCCTCCTCCAAAGAGACCTGGCTCTCTGGGGGCCCAGGCTCCCTCCCCCAGCGCCAGAGCTCCGGCTGGATGGGAGCCTCAGTCCCCCCCTCCCCCGCGGGGTTCAGGGGAAGCCAGTCTGCAAGTCACTCTCCCAGGGCCGTTGAGATAGGCGAGTGCTGTGTGCTAGCTGCAGGAAGTGGGCCGTGGGCCCTCCGATGGGGGAGGGGGAGCAGCCCCAGACTGATGGGAACCGCTGACCTCCGTGCCCTGGGGCCAGCTGAGCCGTTTGCCTAGGAGGCGGAGTCTCGCAGCTGTTTGCGCTTGGTGGGATGGCCCGCTTGGTGGGATGGCCCGGCTGGCTGGGAGGCTGCTCAGGGCAGCTGTGATCTGGAAAGTACACAGGCACTGGCCAGCCCTCCCTCCCCATCCAGGGCTGGGACCCAGGAGCGCAGGTTCCAGAGGGCCCACAGCCCGGCCTCAGCCCTCAGCTGTCTGCTGGCCTCCCCAGCCCTGGCCTCCCCAGCCCTGGCCCAGGGCACTGAGCGCAGGACAGTCTGGGAGGAGCCTGATGGGAGCTCCTGGGGGGAGGGGCCACAGGCAGGTAGGGCCTGGCCCAGACACTCCTCCCTTCCCACTCCTGCATGTCCCTGGAGACGGCACAGGGACTGAGAGAAGGGCCCCCGCCCCCATACTCCCTGGGGCCCAGGGGTGCCAGCCTGCAGCATTTGTCCCACCTCTGCTGAACGGACTTGGGGCCAAAGTCTCCCTGTTTTCAGCGTGAACTCCCACTCTCCCTAACGCATGTTATTAGCAACCTCCAAATAAATGTTGTAACCTGAAAGGAAAGGAGCCCAAACAATAGTAATTTCAGAACACGCCCGTGCAAACCACAGTGCCCTGCCCCCTTTCCAAGCCTTGCCCCAGGTGTCCACACGTCCCCCTCCCGACAAGGCAGCCCCACCCACAGGTGCACAGCCTAGAAGAATCCACACAGGGGGACTGAATGCCTGCCTGCCTGCCCTGGCCGTGGGCAGATGCAACCAGCGCCCATACCAGGTGAACATGGGGTTCCCTGGGGCCACCGAGACCCTCTGGGCACCTGCTGGTGCCGACATGTCAGCTTGGGCTCCCAAGATGAGGACAAGAAGGTAGGGGAGAGGGGATGGCAGCCACGCAGGCTTCCTGGATGCTCTCAGCATCCTTCCCTGGCCCCTAGCTCCCCCGCCCATCCCTCTCTCCAGGCTGCCCCCACACACTCCCTACAATCCCAGAAGCTCCCCGACTCCCCACTCACTGCCTCTGCCCCCCCCCCAACTAGGTGATGCTCCTGGGAGACTCGGGCGTCGGCAAAACCTGTTTCCTGCTCCAGTTCCGAGACGGGGCCTTCCTGTCCGGGACCTTCCTCGCCACTGTCGGCGTAGACTTCAGGGTGAGGCGGCTGCAGGCTCCTCCTCCCAGCGGCTTGGCCCCTGCGTGGCCCTCCGCCTGCAAGGCACCGAGGGTGCTCCCCCAGACCACAGCAGGGGCCAGGTGCCAGAAGTCTGGGCTCCCTGACACCCAAGGGACAGGGAAACCAGGCGGAGCCTTGTTGTCCACTGCAGAGCAGGGCAGACAGATGAAAGCCCTTGCTGACTGCCCTCTGAACTGGGCTCCTTTGGCAAAGCCTGGAAGCACAGTTGGCCTTTTTGGGGCTCCCAGGATGCCCAGCACTGCACCAGGTTGCGGCTCGGGGCTGGCCCTGTGCGGAGAGAATGGCTGGCCCGAGTCCCTCCCTCTCACCCTGATGACCATCTTTCTACCCTGCATCATCGGGGCCCTGACCAGCAGGTGCGGGCTAACCAACCAGGAGGCCAGGACCTCCAGCTGCGTTCAGAGAACTCTGGGGGGCGAGAGGGAAGATGGGCCTGCCAGTCTAGCTCCTCAGGTCTCCAGGACTCCGGTGGGCATCTCAGCGCTGAGGCTCGGCAGCGACAGTCCTGGGGCTGGGCTCTGCGAGAGGAAGATGGTAGTGGGAAAGGGGTGGGCTCTCCGGCGCCCAGCCCCGTGCAGCCCTCCGGGCCCTGGCAAAAACCAGGCAAGTGCTCAGGTGCCCCTCGCCCCTGAGAAGAGCAGAAGGAGTGCCCTCGGCAGCGGAAGGGCCCCCGCCCTCGCTGGAGAGGGTTGGGCACGGGGCGTGGGCGGGCCATGGGCGGAGCTCGGCCCAGGCTTCTCCTGCCCCACCCCCACCCTGCGTCCCTCTGCCTTTCAGAACAAGGTGGTGACTGTGGACGGTGCGAGAGTGAAACTGCAGGTGAGGTGAGGGCTGGGCTGGGGGAGGGAGGGCCCAGCTCCTCACCCCAACCACAGGCTGCCTGCAGCCCTGCCCACCCCTGGGGTAACTTCCTGTGGGGCCCCCAAGAGGAAGCAGCTTGTGTTTGTTTGATGTCTGCAGAAGATGTATTTCCCAGGCACCCTGGCTTCCATCAAAGGCAGCTCAAAATGTGCCTTCACCTCCTGCTCTGGCAGGCTGGGTGCCCCTCCCCCGGGGGGAGCCGGGGAGGAGAAGAGAGGAGCTCCGGTGAGCTCAGTAACCATCCGTCCTGGAGCCCTGGTCCTGGCTCGCACCCCTTGCACCCAGCACTCCCTGCCCCTGTTCCCCCTCTGACCAGTTCTCCATCCCGTCCTAGATCTGGGATACCGCGGGGCAGGAGCGCTTCCGCAGCGTCACCCACGCTTACTACCGAGACGCCCAGGGTGAGTCCCCCAGCCCTCCAGCCCCCGCAGTCCCCCCACTGCCGGGCAGGGGGCCCGCTCTGACCGGTCTCTCCTCCTCCAGCCTTGCTGCTGCTCTATGACATCACCAACAAAGCTTCCTTCGACAACATCAGGGTAGGTCCCCTCTGCCCCGGCTAGAAGCAGCCGAGGCAGGCCTGGCTGGCCTGCTGCTCTGTGGGGTGCAATCCTGCTGCTTCTAAAGACACCTGGCCATGACTCAGAAGTCAGACCCGTGGCCGAGTGTTTACCTGCCGTGTGGGCACAGGGGCTGGGCGGGCTGCGTGCCCGTGCCACCTGCCATGATTCATGACTGTCTTTCCTGTCAAAGAGCTCCCAAGGGCCCCAGCTCCACCCTGGACAATTAGCCGAAGAGGCCAAGGGCAGAGCCCAGCCAGAAGAATCTACACGGACATCCAGCACCACTGGCAGGAGAGTGACTCAGGCAGAGGAGCGAGCGGCTATCAGAGCAGGGAGGATAATTCAGCCAACGTAGGGACCAGCCCTGAGTCCAAAGGGGCACAGGTCTGCCCTGTTCGCGACCTCATTACCTCAATTGCTTAAGCAAACTGGAGGCGTAAGACATACAAGAGGTCTCAAAAGACCCACAGAAGATGATTTTTTTTTTGAGAGGGAGACAGAGCTCCCATCTGCTGGTTCACTCCCCAGACACCCACAGCGGCTGGGCTAGGCGGAAGCCAGGAGCCAGGAACTCAATCCAGGCCTCCCACGGGGGTGGCAGGGACCCACTGTTTGAGCCATTATCACCTGGTGCCTCTCGGGGTCTGGAAACGGGAGCTGGAGTTGGGCACTTCCATATGAAAGTGTCCGACTGGCATCTTAACCGCCAGGCCAAATACTCATCCCACCACGAACTTTTTGATGTACTTTTGTGGATTTTTTTTTTTAATGGAAAACCCATGGCACTTATTGTACCACCTCCAACCAGTTAGCGATGTCATAGCAGACATCACTAATCAACCTCAGTGCTTTTGATCACTTCTGGGCCCTTTTGTGGTCTAGAATCTCAACAGGGCACTCTGCAGGAGAGTGGCCCGGTGCTGCCCCGCGGCCGGCTCAGCTTGCCCTCTCCCCCAGGCCTGGCTCACCGAGGTGCACGAGTACGCCCAGAGGGATGTGGTGATCATGCTGTTAGGCAACAAGGTGAGTGGCTGCAGGCCGGCCGGGGCGGCACCCGGCACCTCCTCTCCGGCTGCCTGGGCATCCGCCCCACCCGGCCCCACGGATGCCCAGCGGTCACCTGGGCACCTGGGCATCCTTCCCGGGTCTCCCGGGTCTCCCAGGTCTCCAGGTCAGAGGTCAGACGTCTCTGCCCTCTGAAAGCTCTGGCAACTGTCCACCCGGGGAGGGCCCTACCTGCAGGGCTGCCCGGGCACTCGTCCTGAACAGGGTCAGGGGTCAGGGGCTGACACCCTTCACCAGGGAGAGTTACCCGCCTTCCTCCTGGAGCCAGGGTTGCCATCACTGCTGAGCTGGGCTACAGCCTGAACCAGGCAGAAAACATAGCCCCAGGCCCATCACACCTGCCCGCAGTCCCCCAGGCCACCAGCAGAGGGCAGGCAGTGCCTGCTCCTTTGGCAGAAGCTGGGCCAGCTGGGGTCAAGGCTTCCTTCCCCAGAGTGACCCATATCGGCTTGACAGGCGGATGTGAGTAGTGAAAGAGTGATCCGGTCGGAGGACGGGGAGATGCTGGCCAGGGTAAGTGACCACTGGCCGGGCGGGGTGAAGGCAGGGGCAGCCAGAGGCCAGCGCTGAGGACAAATCTCTCGCCCCGGGGCAGGAGTACGGTGTTCCCTTCATGGAGACCAGCGCCAAGACGGGCATGAACGTGGAGCTGGCCTTCCTGGCCATTGCAAAGTGAGAGCCGAGTGGGGAGGGGCTCCAGGCTGGGCAGGGTGGCTCCACTGGGGGTTCCTGGGCCCGCCCGCCCTCTGAGTTGCATTTTCGGGGGTCCCCCTGCACTCACAGCCCGCCCACTGCCTCTCTGCCTTCCAGGGAGCTGAAGTACCGGGCGGGGCGGCAGGCCCATGAGCCCAGCTTCCAGATCCGCGACTACGTGGAATCCCAGAAGCAGCGTCCCAGCTGCTGCTCCTTCCTGTGATGCCCAGGGGGCTGCGGGGAGGCCACAGGGGCCCAGAGGACACAGCCGTGGCCCCCAGACCGGTTTATCCTGAGAGGCTGAACGGAGGGAGAGGGAGAGGGGGACCCAGCCCTCAACCCCTTCCCATGAAGCAGCTGGACTCCAGCGCCCGCCGCGGCTCCTGTGGCTCCCCTGCTTCCCCAGCGAGGGCGCGCCACCTTTCTCTTACTGCGACTTAATTTAAAACAAGTAACAGGTGGAGAACCAGGACACCAGGACAACGGAGGCGGGGCCCTGGCGGCCCTTCTGCCTTTGAGGCCGAGGGGCTGGGCCTCCCTCCTAGCCGTGGGCAGCACCAGGGACACCGATGCACTTGTAGGGGTGTGAGGGCAGGAAGTGACCCCGTCAGCAGTCTCACTTTAGCTGGACAGAGGCTGGGCTGACCCCTGGGTGCCGGGAGCCAGACCATAGCTTCAGGGAAGACCACAGCTGTGGGTTAGGAGGCAGGCGGCCCCCTTGGAGGAGGGGAGAGAAGGATCAGAGACCAGGGTGTGTCTGTCTGGCCACCTCAGGCGTTACGGAGCCCCTCCCGGGAGGGTGTCCCTTTCCTGGGCCCCTGGGGACCTTGGTTCCTGTCTCTGGACCTCAGATCCCAGGGGAGCCCCTTCCCCCAGAATCCCCGTCTTATCTGCTTTCTGCCTGTGCCCCTGGCCACCATCCCAGCTTTGGCAGGTGTGCAGTTTGTAGTGCTCAGCTCTCCGGGGTCAAGAACCAGAGAAAGCTCCAGCTCCTGGGGCAGGTGGGGGCAGCAGAATGGAACAAAGCTTGCCCCTAGCCTGAGCCCTAAACCCAGCCTGACCACTGAGCCCTTTAACTCCTCAGCCGCCAGAGCCCAAACTGCTTTATTGCCTCTTTGGCTAGAGAGCCGAGGTCATCCGTTCCTAGGTAAATCCATGTGTGCAGAGCAAGGTCATGGCCACACACTGGGGGCGGGGTGGGCCGGGGAGTAGCAAAGAGTTCAGGCAGGGCCAAGGTCGTGTCTCCCGAGGCCCTGACCCAGCTCCAGGAAGTGAACCTGAGACCAAGAGGTCATGACCTACAGGTACCCAGACTCCTGCAGGCCAGGGGCAGCCGAGGAGGTGAGAAGCCAAAGTCAGCGCCGGTTCTGAGGCTGCGGCCTTTGCTTTCAAGGCGGAATCCTGGCGCTCCGACTTGGGCGGATAAGGAAGCACTCGCCAGGGCACAGCAGGGAGGAGCCTGACCTTGCCAGTCTTTCCTAAGGGCCCACGGCAGCCTGCAGGAGATCCCGTAGCCAAGACAGCCCGGGGCTCCTGGCGTTTGTGTTTTTGCGGAATTAAATCGCAGTGTTTTGGAAACTGCACCCCGTCCTGTGTTTCTGGGAGGGGGCGCACGAGGGAGTGTTCCCGTCTTTCAGTGTCCTGGAATGGTCACCTGAACAGGTGGCCCCCAGGCCTCTGCGGCCAGCCTGGGAAGTTTCTCGGGGTCTGCATTGTCCGCTCTCCGCCTTTCCCGCGGGGCGCACCGAGGTGACCTGACTTTGCTCTGCCTCTCCCGGAGCCAAACGCCCAAGACCCAGGGGCCGCCCCCAGACCCGCTGCGGACCCCGCACAACTTCCCCGCCGGGATCAGAGCCGGCGCTCCCGCGCGGAGGTCGTGGGGCGACGCCAAGGGCCGCCGCGAAGGGAAAACACGGCCCGGGAGCGGAGCGGATCCCTCGGCAGCAGGCGCGCACGCCCCCTCCCCACCGCCCCCGCCTCCATCGGAGCTTCGGCTAAAGGCTGCTGAAACGCTGGGGGTCCGCACCCGAAGGCCGGCTGTCCTCGACCCCCGCCACAGGCTGGGGAAAACAGAGCCGAGCCCGCCGCCCCGCACCTGGAACTCGCGGCAGGAGCCGCCCCTCCCGCCCGGCTCCGGCACTTGGTAACAAACACTTCCACTTCCTGAGCCCGCTTTCTTCGCCCGCTGCGGGGCGCCGCGCCGAGCGCAGGCCCCGCCCCCGCGCGCTCCCATTGGCCGGCGCTGTTCACCCGGCCCGAGCGCCCCGGCCCGGGGGCCCCCGATTGGCTCGCGGTGGCCCACACCCTCGGGGAGGCCCCGCCCCCGGGATTAGGGGCCGGGGCGGGTTCTGGAACGCTCAGACGCCGCGCGGGGCGGGGATTGGTCCGAGCGCGTCCTCCTTCGCTTCGCAGTGTTCGGGACACCTGCTCGCCCCTCGCGTCTGGCGCCGCTGGGGCTCCCCTGCCAGGCTCCCCGGTTCCTCCAAGCTCGCAGAGCAGGGAGAAGGGCTGGGACGCCCCGGACCCGGACCCGGCCCGGAGCCCGCTGCGCGCCGCTGAGCCGTCGCGGGGCGAGATGAGCGCGGACGCGGCGGCCGGGGCGCCCCTGCCCCGGCTCTGCTGCCTGGAGAAGGGGCCGAACGGCTACGGCTTCCACCTGCATGGGGAGAAGGGCAAGGTGGGCCAGTACATCCGGCTGGTGGAGCCCGGCTCTCCGGCCGAGAAGGCGGGGCTGCTGGCCGGGGACCGGCTGGTGGAGGTGAACGGCGAGAACGTGGAGAAGGAGACCCACCAGCAGGTGGTGAGCCGCATCCGCGCCGCGCTCAACGCCGTGCGCCTGCTGGTGGTCGACCCCGACACGGACGAGCAGTTCAGGAAGCTCGGAGTCCAGATCCGGGGGGAGCTGCTACGCGCCCAGGCGGGGCCGGAGCAGGCCGGGCCGCCGGCCGCCCCCGGCGAGCAGGGCCCGGCCGGTGAGAACGAGCCGCGCGAGGTCGAGAAGAGCCACCCGGAGCGGGTGAGTGCGGGCCCGGGGCCGGGCGGCGGGGAGGTACCCGGGCGCCCCGAGAGGCCGGTCCCTTTGGCAGCTTCCGCCCGGCGCCCCGGCTGTTCCCTGGCGGGCGGGGGACCGCGTCCCACGACCCCATCCTCCCTCCCCGCCCCAGGCTGGGCGGGGAGCCCGGGCGCCTTTGCCGCCTGCACTTCTTTTTGGCCTTGGTGAGGGTGGGGGGCGGTGCAGGGGAGCCCAGTCCCCTTTTCGTCTGCTCCCGTACCCCGGAAACCCCGGAGTTCTCTACCGCTACTCCTAACTCCTGTGGGGTGAAGGCGAGAGAGCCGCGTCTTTAGAAAGCGGGGCGCGAAGCCCTCCTGCGCCGAGCCCCGGCGTGGGGTGGGGGCGCCCCGCGTGTATCATTAACCTCGGGCCGCTGGACTTCATCCTTCCCAAGTCCAGGGTGCCTCCTGAGAAGGGGCGATGGGTGGGGGCGGGGTGCGCGGAGGAGGCGCAGAGGCGTCTTGGGGGTGGCGGCTCTGCCACCCAGGAGGATTTATGAGTCTGAGGAATGTGTAGAGTAAGCGCTAGCTTGTATCAGGCAGCGGAGGGAGGACCTTGGAGGAGGAGGAGGAGGTGGAGGAGAAAGATGGCTGGGGGAGGGAGCGAGCTCTCTGCCCGGCAGCCACTGGAGGAGCTGCCCGGGGCAGGTGGTCTTGCCCGCGCCCCACTCACTGCCCTGCCTGGACAGCTCTCGCCAGCGTTTGCTGGTCCCCCAAACCATCCCAGTGAGTTCGGATCAGCTGCAGGAGGGCAGCTGGCAAAACAGGAGCTGTTGTGCAGAGCCCCGGGTCCCGTGAGACAAGGCGGGGCCTGGGGTGCCCGCGGTGGGGCGCCCAGGGCCCCCTCCAGCAGGCGCCAGTTGGGGGCCGTGTGTGGCACGGGTGCCCCAGGGCCGAGCCAGGAGGACCCTCCCGGGACAGCGAGAGGGCACAGTTCAGCATTTAGGTAGAAGGCGGAGCCTGAGAGGACCAACTGGTTTGGTGTAAGAGAAGGAAGTGAGGTCACCAAGAACACTGCCCAGCCAGAATTGGGTGCCAGGAGTTCCAGGGCCACCAGGCTCCCACTTCCTGCCACTGCCAAGCTGGCATAGGCCCAGGGTGGGGGCGTGGATCAGAGCACCCCTGATAAGGGGTAGACACCAGGGATCAGGAACAGATGACCTCTGGTCCCAGGCAGAAATCCCATCTGAACTTTGTGCTTCTGCTGAGCCTGTCCGGCCCTGTCCTTTTCCTTCCCTTGCTCTTAGCCAGGGGCTCAGATGACCCCTCCCCCACAGCAAGTCACAGCTCCTCCCTTTGCCCTTTTGGTTCTGGCCGGGGAGGCCCTGGGGGGAGGCTAACGTGGAAGCCTGCACGGCACAGGCCATTCCACCATCTCAGAACCGGGCTCCCCCAGGTGGTGGGGTGGGCCCCACCTGTGTGTGTGCTTCCTTGGGCCAGCAAAGCCACCTGGGGGGGTCCTGGGGACGCGTCCCCAGGCAAGTCACGGTTCTGTGCACTGTGGTTTTCCCATCTACAAAATAAGGGCATTGGCTGAGGTGCACCTGCCGCCTCTGTACAATTTTAGAAATGGGGGGCAATGCTGGCGCCTCTGCTAGATTCTCTGAATCGAGCTTCGCTTGTGAGGCCGAGCCCTGTGCGACCACCTCCTTCAGCCATATTCGTGGCTGGTCGGCTGGAAGCCCTCCGTTAGAAGGCTGCAGAAATGCTCACACACAGAGTGAGAGCGACTTTTTTTGCAAAAGGCATCCGTTTCACAAAGCATCTCGCTGAGGTTTGCTGATGCACTTTAACCTGAGTTTGTGTGCAGCAGGCCGGCTGTCCCTTCTCTTCGCTAGTTCTCAAAGACGCAGATGGTCCCAGTAGAAAGGTGCCCAGCAGGAGTGCTTACCTGGATGGCGTCTGGTGGGGAAGACCAGGTGTGGTCTAGAGTGACACAGGGGGCTGGCATTTGGCACAGTGGTTAAGTCGCTGCCTGGGATGCCCAGGAGCGGCTGGTTCGAGTCCCAGATACTCTGCCTCTGATCCAGCCGACTGCGTGTGCACACCCTGGGAGGCAGCAGGTGATGGCTCAAGGACTTGGGTCCTTGCCGCCCATGTGAGAGACCCTGCTTCAGCCTGGTCTGGCCTTGGCTGCTGGCTTCTGGGGAGGGAATCGCCCAAACCAACAGATGGAAGATACCTCTCCCCCCACACTGCCTTTCAAATAAAACACACACACACACACCCCGCAGGGCCAAGCATGAGGGGTGCCTGGAGCCCTGGCCATCCGTGCTGGACTGGGCTCTCTAGGCTCAGGAGGGGAGGGAGTACTTAGCCCCCCCCCTTCGTTGTTGGCTTTTGCCTCCTCCACTCACAGGGGGAGAGGGGCAGCGACACCTTGCTTGAAGCCCCCCAGCCAGTCCCCTCCACCGCCTGTCCCAGAGTGACACCCAAACCCTCAGATTGGACCCTGACAGCTGGGCAGGCCTGAACCCGCCCCTCTGCACTGGCCCAGCAGCCTGGAGCCAAGCAGGGCAGCTCTGTGAGCGTCCGTTTCCTCTTGTGTAAGCTGTGGGTTACAGCAGCCAGCCCACAGGGCCGTGGGGATTACGCGAGGATGAACACGCAGCAGGTTGCTCACTGCCTGGCACTGAGGAAGTACCCAGTAAACACTGGTTCCCGGGCATTTGGATTAATGAAGAATTCACAGGGACAGGCGCTGGGCGCCGCGGCGAAGTTGCCGCTTGGGTTGCCAGCATTCCCCGTCTCGTGCGCCTGGTTTGAGTTCAGCTCCTCCGCTTCCCACCCAGCTTTCTGCTCCTGCACCTACTGGGAGGCGGCAGCTGATGGCCTCGGTCCCTGCCACCCTCGGGGGTGGGCATGGTGGTGTAGCAGGTTAGGCTGCGGCTTGGGACAGCCTGCTCCCATAATGGAGTGCCAATCAAGTCTGCTTCTTTTCCTTTTTAAAGATTTATTTATTTATTTGAAAGGCAGAGTTACAGAGAGAGAGAGGTCTTCCGTCCACTGGTTCACTCCCCAAATGGCTGCAACGGCCGGAGCTGAGCCTATCTGAAGCCAGGAGCTTCTTCTGGGTCTCCTACGCGGATACAGGGGCCCAAGGACTTGGGCCATCTTCTGCTGCTTTCCCAGGCCAGAGCAGGGAGCTGGCTAGGAAGAGGAGCAGCCGGGACTTGAACCATCAGCCCCTATAGGGTACTGGCACTGCAGGCAACAGCTTTACCCACTATGCCACAGTGCTGGCCTCCCTCCTTTGCTTCTTAGCCAAGCTCTCTGCTCATGGGCCTGGAAGGCAGCTGATGATGGCTCAAGTTCCTGCCACCCACATGGAGACTCTGTTGGGGTTCCTGGCTCTTGACTTTAGCCTGGGCCAGCCCCAGCTATTGTGGCCATCTGGGGAGTGAACCAGGTGATGGAAGATCGATCTCTCTCTCTCTCTCTCTCTCCCTCCCCCTTTCAAATAAGTAAATAAACCTAAGAAGGAGAGAGAAAGACCCAGCTTGCGTTCTGGACTCGGCTTCTGCCTGACCCAGCCCTGGCTGTTCTGGGTATTTGGAGAGTGAACCAGCCCCTGGCAGATCTCTGTCTCTCTGCCTTCTAAATAAAACGAAACTAAAGAAATAAAAGTAGCTAGTTCACAGTGAGGTTACACGTCCTGGGGGGACAGCCAGCGCTGGATCTGCCCCGCGCTGTGCAGGTGCAGCCATGGCCAAGCCTGGTACTTGGTAAGTGCTCAGCCATTGGTTGCTTCAGGTGAGGTGGGGTCTGGCGTCCACTCTCACTGCTGCCCCCTCCCCTCCATCCCAGAATCTGAGCCCCCCCCCCCGCCAGCCACGCCCTCCCTGAGCCGGCAGATGGCGCCCCTCCCTCTGGGAGTCCTCCTGCCCCCTTCTGTACCACGAACCTCTGCGGATGCTTTCCTGGGTTCCTTGGGCAGAGCTGTCTCTTCCTTTCCTCCTGCTCTTTGTCCTTGTATCTTTCTTTTATTATCTTTCTTTTTTATTATTTATTTGAGAGACAGAGGGCTGTTGCACTGGTTCGCTCCCATCTGCTGGTTCACTCCCCAAGTGCCCACAACAGCTGGAGCTAGACCCGGGCTGAGGCCGGAGCCGGGAGCCAGGAACTCCATGCAGGTCTCCCCCGGGATTACAGGAACCCAGCTAACTTGAGCCAGGAAGCACTGCCTCCTCCTCCCAGGGTCTGCGTTAGCAGGAAGCTGGAGTCAGGAGCCTGCGCCAGGGATGCCCGCCAGGCACTCGGATGTGGGACGTGGGTGCCCTAACCAGGGACCTAACTGCGAGGCCGAGCACCCGCCCACATCCTATCTCTTTATCGCTCTGAACATGCAATATTTTAGTTATCTGTTGGTGAGCTCCTCCTCCGCCGCACGGTCAGCCCCAAGGGCAGTGACCAGTTTATTTGTGTTTACGTGCCCGGCGCATGGTAGGGAGGTGCTCAATAACCAGCTTTGAATTAATGGATGGATCCGTGACAGCTGTCAGACCTTTGTCCCCGCTCATCTCCTTCCAGGCCCAGCACTCCCAGGCTTGCCACCAACACACCCAGAGACTGGAATTCCAGATAAGCCTCCCACCTCTCCTTGCCTGCTGGCAGCTTCCATCGAAGACTAGAAAGCAAAAGCCCGGGCCGGGACCGGGGCGGTGTTTGAATCCGGGTGCTGCCAGTCGCTGGCCGCGAGGCCCTGGGAGCCCCATGCTCCTGCTGGCTCTGTGAGGTGCGGGTACCGGGACCCCCTGGCGGGGCTGTTGGTGTAAAACCTCCCCGCCTGAGGGGGCTCCTGCCAGTCTTCGCCTTGATCCCAGAAGCAGAGGCCGCGCAGGCACCCCCGCGGCGGTGTGCATGGCTGGGTGCGCTTTGCCGGCAGGCTCCCAGCCCCTTTCCCAGGGCGGGCGGCTGGTTCACACCGACGGGCTTGGAGCTTTGGTGAGGCAGAAGCGTGTGGGT